AAAAATACATATCCAAAATGGGTCTACTGTGGCTTAAAAGATTCACAAATGACTCAGCTTGCCTTTTAACCTACACATATGTGTTAATTGTACATATATTTGTGTATAGGAAGAAAAAACTAGGTTTACCCAAGGTATGAACAACACAAAAACACACTAAAACCTACATAAGTTCTACAATTCTTCACCAAATTCGATCAAACCTAGTCTAAACTCAAGAGAATTTTGTCAGCTTTCAGAATATATGGTCAAATTGCCGATTTAAATGATTTAAATGGTCGAAATGATGAAAAAACCAAAATTTCGACCTAGGTCAAAATTTTCAAAAAACTGAATTTTTTTCCAAAAATACATATCCAAAATGGGTCTACTGTGGCTTAAAAGATTCACAAATGACTCAGCTTGCCTTTTAACCTACACATATGTGTTAATTGTACATATATTTGTGTATAGGAAGAAAAAACTAGGTTTACCCAAGGTATGAACAACACAAAAACACACTAAAACCTACATAAGTTCTACAATTCTTCACCAAATTCGATCAAACCTAGTCTAAACTCAAGAGAATTTTGTCAGCTTTCAGAATATATGGTCAAATTGCCGATTTAAATGATTTAAATGGTCGAAATGATGAAAAAACCAAAATTTCGACCTAGGTCAAAATTTTCAAAAAACTGAATTTTTTTCCAAAAATACATATCCAAAATGGGTCTACTGTGGCTTAAAAGATTCACAAATGACTCAGCTTGCCTTTTAACCTACACATATGTGTTAATTGTACATATATTTGTGTATAGGAAGAAAAAACTAGGTTTACCCAAGGTATGAACAACACAAAAACACACTAAAACCTACATAAGTTCTACAATTCTTCACCAAATTCGATCAAACCTAGTCTAAACTCAAGAGAATTTTGTCAGCTTTCAGAATATATGGTCAAATTGCCGATTTAAATGATTTAAATGGTCGAAATGATGAAAAAACCAAAATTTCGACCTAGGTCAAAATTTTCAAAAAACTGAATTTTTTTCCAAAAATACATATCCAAAATGGGTCTACTGTGGCTTAAAAGATTCACAAATGACTCAGCTTGCCTTTTAACCTACACATATGTGTTAATTGTACATATATTTGTGTATAGGAAGAAAAAACTAGGTTTACCCAAGGTATGAACAACACAAAAACACACTAAAACCTACATAAGTTCTACAATTCTTCACCAAATTCGATCAAACCTGGTCTAAACTCAAGAGAATTTTGTCAGCTTTCAGAATATATGGTCAAATTGCCGATTTAAATGATTTAAATGGTCGAAATGATGAAAAAACCAAAATTTCGACCTAGGTCAAAATTTTCAAAAAACTGAATTTTTTTCCAAAAATACATATCCAAAATGGGTCTACTGTGGCTTAAAAGATTCACAAATGACTCAGCTTGCCTTTTAACCTACACATATGTGTTAATTGTACATATATTTGTGTATAGGAAGA